TCAAAACCTTATTTTTCCACTAATCAAAATAACATAATCTATAACTATTTTCACGATAATAATTTCTGTACAAAGGATTCCTGTAAGGCCTAAAATGTCTAAGGACTTTTTCGGACACTTGTACAGATGGATCTGCTGTACAAATGCCTACATATCTATGATCTTAGGTCTTGACTGCTGGTGTTTTTGGCACTAAAACTTGAAACATCTTGCATCGCTGCAACCTTTATCATGGCTATTGGCAGGATGACATATTGTTTCTCTTGTCATCATTAATACAGGGTTATTAAAAACAAATACATCGTTAGTATCCGGAACATTTTGAACAGGACACCCACATCCTTTTTACTGGAGGCCACAGAAACCTGTACTTTTTGGGCACCCTTCTTTGCAAAAAATTCCAGCTGTCGCTGTCTATTCCTTTGTATTTGGGCAAAAGAACGATATTTCTTTTCAGGACTGGGTAATTAATTTACCGAGAAGCCCCTTTTAAAGCTCATGTAAACCTCTGTTTGAAACTCCAAGACACTGATAGCTTATCAAGATTTCTTATTGCTGCTACTGCTGCTGAAGGAAGAATAAAGTTGATATCCATCCTTTCTACTGAAGGAAGAATAAAGTTGATATCCATCCTTTCTTCTTCAATATGTGCAATTTGACTTGCAGGGAATGTAGCTCTTCGACGTGTGTTCTCTTAGTATCAGAAATGAATACAGATTCTTGGAATGGATCTTCAACACTTTATTTCAGGAAAAAATACATAAAAGCAACAATCAAACAACTTATAACTTCCTATGGACACAGATCACCAAATATTCCTACGCCATACGCCGTCACCCACGAAACAAGGGCCAAAGCTATTTTTAGTCTTCCTCTCCCTTTTCCTTTTTCCCCCTTTTGCATGGCGATTTTTGTTGACTTTTTGGTGTAGAATTGAGGAAAAGGGTTTGAAAATACATTTTCTGCCAGGTTTTGGTGAATATTCATAATTTTGATGCGGAAGGATACAAGAGTTGAGAGGTTGGTTACGTTGAAATGTAGGGCCTGAAATTGCATGTTTACTTGTCTCTACTTCCAGCTTGTGTATCTCAAGTTTTTCATGAAGAACCTCATACGTGCTTTTGGGCAAGTGGTTGCCACATGTTGCTCCATCTGTGGTAGAAAGCGTTCTACCCAACGAAAATTTGGGAAAAAGTTAGAGCCGGTCTAAGATACGAGAATTAACATTGGAGTCAATGGGAAATCTTTAGTGATCTGTGTCCTCCTATACATCGGTCCTCCAACATATAGGTTTTACGGAAGCCCATTAGGGTCAATCACATGAAAAAAAAATTCTGACTATCTTGTAATTACAAGATAGGCTATCTTGTAATTACAAGATAGCTATCTTGTAGTTACAAGATAGCCTAAGATAGCCTATCTTGTAATTACAAGATAGCCTATCTTGTTATTACAAGATACGGAGAAGCCCATGAGTAACTTATTTTAAGGTCGCCATACACCGATTTATCGAATAGTTAGGTCAACGCCGTACTTTATTTTATGTTACAGAATCGGCACATTCATGTCATGCTCCCATAAATATCATTCGTTATTTTCATGCATCCATTAAAATCATAAAGTTCATACTCTCATTAACTTCATACTCCCACCAACTTCATATTAATATCAATTTTAATGCTCTCCTTAAAACCACAGAACGCTATTTATATTTTTCGGAAAACTTCTTTAATTTTTGATTTTTGGCTGTTTTTATTGTCTGCAGAGGTTACCGATTTTTTCCATTTCAACATTATTATTATTATTATTGTGCCGAAAGTATTTATTGGGTGGTTATTTCGAATAAAAGTATTGCAAATTTGGTATGAAAGTACTTCGTTTGCCTAGCTTTCCGACAAATCAGTGTAGGGCGACCTTGAAATAAACTTTTTTTTCATATGATTGACCCTAATGGGCTACTCCGTATCTTGTAATTACAAGATAATTACAAGAATACTATCTTGTAATTACAAGATAGCTATCTTGTAATTACAAGATAGCTATCTTGTAATTGCAATATAGCCTAATATGGTTATCTTGTAATGGTTATCTTGTAATTACAAGATAGCTGCCTTGTAATTACAAGATAGCCTAATATAACCTATCTTGTCTTGTAGTTATATAAAATGGTTATCTTGTAATTACAAGATAGGCTATATTAGGCTATCTTGTAATTACAAGATAGTCATCTTGTAATTACAAGATAGTCAGAATTTTTTTTTTCATTTGATTGACCCTAATGGTCTTCCGTAAGGTTTCCTAAGCTGGTCTCTCCAAGTAATGATTCATCTTACATACATCTGACATTTTTATGTGGCCTCGCCCAGACGATAAAATCCCCCACATATCCCAGTCGATAAAATCAGTCAAATAGTTCAGTCGATGAAACCAGTCGAAAAAAAAACAGCCCAACAGAGAACTAAGATAATAGAGTAGCCCAATGCTTGTGGCCATAGCTGTAGGAGCCGAGGGCTTGGGGTGGGGTTTTGGTCCTCACACGTCGCAGGCGATAAACAAGTCAAATTTATTGGTAATATTTCGGTCCCATTTCCCAAAAAATAGATTCCCTATATATGACCGTAGATTGATAGTGGAAAAGGGGAAACCATATTTTATGAAGCACCAATGGGAGGGGCATGTGGAGATGAGGTATTTGACAATATCAGTATCTACTTAAGTACATGTATCAACTAAGACGGGTGAAGACCCCCCCCCCCCCCTCACACACACCCTTCCCCCCCGAGCCCCCGGCTCTTTTAGTTTTGGCTTAAGCACCGCCTAAATACCTTCATTATCAAACTACAATTGCCGGTAAAATCGGACTTGAAACTAGTTGGGAATCCCCCGGCTCCTTCAGCTATATGGCTACGAGCATGATTGGCTAAGTTCTATATTATCTTAGTTCACTGCCACTCGTTCAATATCCCCAGCCCCCTGACTACCTTCATATGTAACGATTCTATTCATGTTGATGTGGGAGCCGAAAAAGTTACCGTCTACTTAAGCATCGCCTAAATAGCTTAATTATCATACTACTTTTGCCCGCAAAATCGGACTCTAAACTAGATGGGAAGCCCCCTGGCCACTACCCCATGCGCTCTACTCCTTCAGCCAAGGCTACGAGCATGATTGGCTACTCTATATTACCTTAGTCCACTGCTACCGCTGGTTAATATTGAGCGACTTGTTTATTCAACTGGATTATTCGACTGAACTATTTGACTGATGTTATCGACTGAACTAATTGAATGATTTTATCGACTGGACGAGGCCACGTGAAAATGTCAAATACCTCATCCCAACACGCCCCACCCCACCCGCACCCCTTTTCTACGGTCATATATGGGTACTGTATTCTTTTCGAGGTGGGGGCCGACAATATTAATATCTACTTGAAAGTACATGTATCACCTAAGACGGGCAAAGACCCCCGCCCCCCTTCCCTCCCGAGTCCTTCTGTTATGGGTTAAGCATCGCCTAAATACCTTCACTATCAAACTACTTTTGCCCGTAAAATGAGACTTGATACTTGTTGGGAATCCCCGGTCCCTACCCCATACCCCCGGCTCCTTAAGGTATGACTGCCACTCGTCCAATACACCCACCCCCGCCCAGACTACAGGCATATATGTAACGATTCTATTCATTTAGATGTGGGAGCCGAAAAAGTTACCCTCTACTTAAGCATCGCCTAAATACCTTAATTATCAAACTACTTTTGCCCGCAAAATCGGAATTGAAACTAGTTGGGAAGCCCCCCAGTCTAATTGACTGATTTATCGACTGGACGAGGCCACATAAAAATGTGAAATACATGTACCTCAACAGCACACGCCCCACCCAACCCCATATATCGGAAGTCTATTCTTTTCGAGGTGGTTACCGAAAATATTAGCATAGGCGTACGAGCTGCCTATGAATATTAGTATCTACTTAAGTACATGTATCCCCACACGCCCCCTCCCACCCCATCCCCTTTTCTCTACGGTCATATATAGGGACTCTACTATTCTTTTTGAGGTGGGGGAGCGAAAATATTAATATCTACTTATGCATCTGTACGTAAGACCTAGCTCCCCCTCCCCCCCGGCCGTTAAACCATGCCCCCGGCTCCTTCAGATATGGCTATTTAAGCATCGCCTAAATACCTTAATTGTCAAACTATTTTTGACTGCAACATTGGACTTGATACTAATATTTTTGGCCCTCGCCTAAAAAAAATTGAGTCTCTATATATGACCGCAGAAAAGGGTGTGGGGTGGGGTGGGGTTTTGCGTATGGGGACGAGGTTTTTGATATTCCATATTATGTGGCAAGTAAAGCATGATTTTATTAAGCAGCGGTGGCAATAACTAAGATAACAACTTAAAGTTTTAATTTGAACAATCAAATTTGAACATGGAGGGTGGGGGGATAAAAAATAGACAAAAACAATAATAAACGATATTGGAATTAGTGCGTTTTTTCTTTAACTTATATTTATTACAAATTATTCCAAAATTTTAATCAGCCATCGACTGGTTTATTCGACTGACTATTTGAATTGGACTTAGAATTGACTCCGCTTAAAAGAGTATTACGAAAGTATTACGAAAGTCTTCTAATATCTCTGAAAAGATGACTGCCTTCATCACATGACGTCATATCACGCGGTGTCAATCATTGGCTCAATGGCGCGTGCATTTTTTTACATAAGACTTTACTGATTCGAGCAATGGCGCCTTTTACTCATTTAAATACCCATTTACACTAAAATAGGAAATAATTTTTACCTACAAATACTTCAAACGTCTTTATTTATTTTTCTAATGAATAAAAAAAATGTTTTAGAATTTAATTTGTCGGAGGAAAAAAGTTAATATTTGTGGCTCATTAAGTCATCCTTATCAGTGATTGTCGCGGCCTAGCGAACATTCACTGCTGATCAGTGTGTCCTGCACTATAGATCGGGATAGCGTGGATAACCTGGTCTACCATGTGTTGATAAATAAAATAAAATGGCAGCGATGTCGAAAACCAAGCTAAATAAATAATTGATGATAACTGTGCCTTAGGTCACACCGAACAAGTAATTCTTAGCCAACTTTCGGTTATCAAACTCGGTGATTTGTTAGACAGAACTAGGCCTAATTCTGAGAGAAAAGCTTGTCAAAATGAATAATCATAGTGACGACAGCGAAGAACCTTTTACATATGGAGACGATTATTATGAAGAAAATGGAGTTCAAGCAAACGATCGCAATCCGTCACCTCCACATGAACTTCAGCAAAATTTAGAAGCCGTTTTGGGGGATAGCATCGGTCAAACAGCCTTTAGCAAGCACTGGGTTTTAACCACACTAATGCGACTTATGGATGAAGTAAAACTCGATGTCAAAACAGTTGAGAATGACGAAGATCAAGTTGAAGATGTTGATGAAGACTTCCAGAATGAACTATGCCAGTTATGGGATATGTCCATGAACAACGAAGTTGCCAAGTACCTAGAAGAATTCAAAGCAGTTGACATTCTGTCTGATGTTATAAGCAAATCGAAAGCTCCTAGGGTAACTGAAATATGTGTCGGAATTTTGGGCAACATGGCCTGTGATGCTTACATCTGTGCTTCAATGATGTTAAATGAGAAGCTGGTGGACATGATGTTGATGTTATTGAAGGGTTCGGATACACCAACTTTGGTAGAAACAACCAGGTTATTACATACCTGTTTCTCAAATAAACAGACTTCTAAGCCTTGGAATGAAGCTATTAAAGGTTATCCAGAGGTTCAGATAGATCTTCAGTTTATTTTACAGTCTTCCACAAACAGTGATTTATTGAAGAGTACTACTGAATTTGTTGGTATCTTGTTAGATTCCGATGATGAACTGTGTTTAAATTGGGCTGATGAAGCGTTAGTAATTTCATTGTTAGAGGCTATCAAGCAAGTTGGTTACAACCACAGTGATGCATTGGAACCCTACTTGCACATATTTCAACTTTTCTCAACAAGTGAAACTGGCGTGGAAGCATTAATGAAATGTACTGACGATTTGTTGGAATTTTTGTTGAAATATCTTTATGGAGTCTGTGAAGATGAAATAGTGGGACTTGATGAACATGGAAATTGTTTGGCGTCTGCCATATCCACTATATCAGTTCTATTTCCATCCTCATCATTTACAGCTAAAAATATGGCAGAATTAATGCGTTGTTTGTTAAAAATATTAGACCCACTTTATCCCTTAATTTCCAGTAAAATGTCTGATAACATTCAAAATGATGTTAATGGTAAAAAAGAAACTAATACAGTAACCGAAACACAAAATCTAAATGAAAATAATCTTGATTCTGTTAAAAACTTGGACAACAATAATCTTACAGTCTTGCAAGAGAACCAGATTTTATACAGTGTGCTACAAAGATATCTTTGTGATATTGTTTTGTCATTTTATTCTGAGATCACAAAAGTGACAGAAGAAGTTGAAAGTAATGAAGGCAGTGAAATCACAGCTGAGCCTTACTACTTGAATGCCTTACAATATTTAGAATCATCTTGTAGTAGAGAACGCATATACAAAATGTTTCACACGTTAAACGACTCAGAAAACAATGATGATGAGTTAATACCTATTTTTGATAAAATTTCAAAATCACATTCCCTACAAAGACTTCAGAGAATAGTTAGTGATTTTAAAGATGGCAAAGCTTATGATAGATCAAATTCAAATCAAGAAACTAGAGCATAACATTGGTAATAAATGTTGTTCCCTTCATTTAGAATTGAAATGAATTTTTATAATTTTGTAAATGAATTAATTTTTATAAATGAGAGCAACTCTTGGCATAAACCAATATTTTAAATTTTGAATTGTTTTATTGAAATAGAGAAACACAAATGCCTTTAGGGGTTTGTAAAGGGGAACCCTGTTTATGACATTTTATAAACAAGGTTCAAACTTATTTTTACTGCAGAAGACAAGGATTAGCACTATTTTACTTCTGACTACTCCTTTGTTATACGCCCACATTTTCACGTGGACGTATATTTTCGTTGCCCCTGTCCGTCCGCCCGTCCACAATTGTTTGTGAACACTCTACAGGTCACAATTTTTATCCGATTTCAATGAAACTTAAAATATAGGTTTATCTCCCTAAGATCTCGGTTCCTTTCGATATTGGCATGTATCGGACTGTTAATTCATGGATTATGAGCCTGATTGTACGAAAAATCACGTTTTTAGCTTGTGAACACTGTAGGGGGTGTGATAGTTTGAGTTGACTCCTGGTGTGTGTTTTCTCCTGGGCACTTGCGCATGTCCGAAACTGATGTTTGCCTTAACAACGAAACTATATCTACTTCCTGCAGTGTGAGTTGGTTCCTGACCACTGGTCAGTACAGGAAAAAATATATCATGTACTTGATTAGAGTTTTGTCATTAATAAAATACTTGTTGACGTGATTAGCTGTTGTTTTAGCGATCAGTAGTTACACGATCAACGGATCTAAGTTGATTGGCTTGAAATTGATACTTCGTTCGTGATTTGTTGCCGTTGTTTTTTTTTTAGTGATTAGTCGTTCTACACACGTACGATCAGTGGAAACCATACAAATTGATGATTGGCTTGAAATTATCAATTAATTCACCTCCAAAGGAAGATTAAGGCCTTTGATATTTCGTGGCTTCATTTAACACAAATATAAAAGTATGGAATTTCTTATTCCGATTTCTTTAACATAAATATAGATTTATTACACCATCCCATACGTACATTCAAACATGCATGTAGACAGCCCAAATACAAGAGAGAATGTTCGCATTGTGGACGGGAATATATACTAAATAATAATAATAAAGATCGTCAATTTGCATCCTCTCTTAGTGGTAATATTGTAAATATATAATAGTCTATAATATATTGATTTGACCGTAAGAACATCTTAGGGGAAATCCTATCACGAGGAGTCAATGCACACCGCGTCTGTAACGGTGTGAGGTGACTCCTACAACTGCGCATGCGCCAAACGGTAATCACACACCAGGGACCATCTGAAACTGCCACAGAGGTCACAATTTTTATCCGATTTGGTTTAAATTTGAGAAGCATGTTTATAACCCACAGATCTCGGTTCCTTTCGATATTCAATGATATTGGACCATAACTTTCTGAAATATGGCCCCTGATTGTACACAAAAACATGTTTTTAGCTTGTGGACCCTATAGAGGTCACAATTTTTATCCAATTTCAAAAACTGTTTGAATATATCACCGTTACACCCTAAGGATAGTTGAGTTCGAAACTGACGGACAAAATGGTTGTCCCTCGTTCGCAAATAGTGTCAAAATATTGTGTATCAGGGTTGTGGATCCTCTGGAGGTCACAATTTTCATCTGATTTTGATGAAACTTGAAATGCATGTTTATGACCCAAATATCTTTGTTCCTGTCGAACATATCGAATCATAACTTCCTGAATTATGGCCCCTGATTGTACGAAAAATCACGTTTTTATCTTGTGGTCCCTCTAGAGGTCACAATTATTATCTGATTTAAAAAAACGTTTGAATATATCACCATTACACTGTTATGTTTGTTGAGTTTGAATTTCTTAAAAATCGGGCCAAAACTGCCGGACAAAATGGACGCCCCTTATATACGCAAATAGTGTAAACATCTGGTAAATCAATGTTGTGGACCCTCTAGAGGTCACAATTTTGATCCGATTTCGATGAAACTTGAAATACATGTTTATAACCCAAAGATATTGGTTCCTTTTGATATTCGCGCATATCGGATTGTAACTTCCTGAATTATGGGCCTTGATTGAACAAAAAATCACGTTTTTAGCTTGTGGACCCTATAGAGGTCACAATTTTTATCCGATTTAAAAAAAATGTGTGAATATATCATCATTACCCACTAAGATCTTGGTTGCTTTTGATAATCGCGGATACCCGAACATAACGTTCTGGATTATGGCCCCTGATTGTTCGAAAAATCACATTTTTAGCTTGCAGATTCTCTAGAGGTCACAATTTTTTTCCGATTTTAAAAAACGTTTAAATACATCACCATTCCACCATAACGAAGGTTGAATTTGAATTTTGGGAAAATCTAAATGAAACTGCCCAACAAAATGGCCGCTCTTTGTACGCAAATTGTGTAGAAGTGTGTAATACGAAGGTTGTGGACCCTCTAGAGGTCACAATTTTTATCCGATTTTGATGAAACTTAAAACATAACTTTATATCCCAAAGATCTCGATTCTCAGTCCCATTTGATATTTGCACATTTCAGGCCATAACTTTCTGGATTATTGCCCCTGATTGTACAAAAAATCCTGTTTGTTTTTAGCTTGTTCTCTATCCATCTCTTGTAAAATGTTGACGTATCCTGCGTGGCAGCCGCTGGTGTTTTTATATGTTCATATATATTGTTGTTCTCAATCATTTTTCATCCATGATTCCTTGTGGGTACTCCAGAGCTGTGGTTATCATCCAATTGGCTTGAAATTAATCCACAGTGTTATATTTATAATATGAAGAAATCTATCAATAAATAATAAATACTTGCATAGTTATGATCACTTGATAAACATTGTGTTTCCACTGAGGTCAACTTCAATCCGGTTCTGAGCTGTTTGAATGGCAGGATTGCCTATACCATTAGCAACTGTGAACTAGAAGAGCCCAACATAACAGTTTGGGTTAAGAAAGAAGCCAGCTCTGTATGTTAGCCTTAATAATGTCAGTGGAAATGCTGCAACTGGCTATATCTCGTTCCCCATTTAGTCTTATTAGGTTGCTTGCTGACTATTTGGTATCTTCTTTAACGGTTTATGTCTACATGTATATGTGATTCAGGTATATTTCAGTGGAAATGTAAGTCATTTTGCAATAAAGTCACCGGGAAAGGCCATTTTCAGTGGAAATGCCATCTATGTTACTGTTTTCTAAATATGCTCAGAAAGCATCTGTCCAAATCTTTCATTCCCATCTGATTACATGTAGCCTTATTAACTGTTAAAAGTGTTTTCAAACATGTGAGGTTTAACTTGTAGTCTCAATTTGCCAGGTCGCATTTGAATACATGCAATCAGGGCTCACACTTTCATTTTTTTCTGCCAAAATGAATAATAATTTTTATTTAAAAAAATTATTCAAATTTTTTCTCCGCCAACTGCAATATTTTATCTGGCAAAAATGTCTGATAAAAAAAACCCAAACTTACAACAATTTAATTTATTTTGTAGGCCTATTATAAAACAATTATCTCGTACCGATCAGTACTGCCGCCAAAATGTTCAAAAGTGATAATATAATTTGAAATAAAATAATAATATCCAATCGGGAAAACCTGTATATTTTATATGCCGTATGAAGCCACAGTAAATGAAATTCAATTATCAATGCGCTAATTCAAATGTGACCTTGAAAGTAGAGACAACTTCCGAGGTGAAAAGTCGACAGCACGACAGCAAGTCAAAATCATAGGTCGCTAATATTGCCATCAATACTAGACTTTATCATACGGACTATTTTGTTAATGTGAATTGCATGTATTCAAATGTGACCTGGAATGTAGAGACTACAATGACTTCCAGGCAAAACTCGAAAAGTCGACGAGAGTACGACAATAAGCCAAAATGACAGGTCGCTAATAGTGCGTGTGTTTATTTCCTAATTTCTACTTTTCGAGTTGCATTATGTCTAGGTATGCCTTGGGCCTTCTTACTGACATCAATAAATACAAAAACATGACTAAGTCGAAAGTTGACAAGACGGTATACAAGCCAAAATGCAAGTCGAAAATAAGAAATTAGGAAAAAAAATGAGGGGCGCTATTATCGCAGTGTATTATTTCTTAATTTTGAGTTGATTTTGGCTTGTATAGCGTGCTGTCGCCTCACATTTTGTCCTAACTTCTACTTTTCGACTTTTGTGTTTTGATGAAGGGCGAAAAGTAGAAATTATGAATGGTAGTTATAGGCTTCCATAGGTAGGTGTGTTGGCGCCTTCTTACTGACATCAGTAATTACAAAAATATGACTAAGTCGAAAGTCGACAAGGTGGTACACAAGCCAATATGCAAGTCGAAATTAGGAAAAAACTAGGGGCGCTATTATCACAGTGCATTATTTCTTTATTTCCTATTTTCGAGTCGATTTTGGCTTGTATAGCTTGCTGTCGCCTCACATTTTGTCATTACTTCTACTTTTCGACTTTCGTGTTTTGAAATTATGAATGGTCGTTATAGGCTTCCATAATCTGACATGTCTGCATCCATCAATCTGTTTTCACCAATATGTGCTTACCATTCTGTATTCAATAATCTGTAGCGCCGCCAGGCTGAGTTCTAAAAAGATAGGTTGCCAGGCAACGAAACATACGCCCACAGCAGCTAAATCGTGCAGCAGTCAACAAGAGTTGTCGCATATTTTTACCTTGTCGGTTATGGAACATTTATAATACACTAAAATCTGATTAAGAGTAACAACTCATTAAGTAATTATCAGAAAATCATTAGAATTTGTTTGGCCCATGCTAATGTTTAGTATACAAAACATTTGATATCATGGATTTAGCAGTTCAAGTTATCAAAAATCATTGAAAATCACTTGTTCGTCTCAAGACCTTAAACTTTGTATCAATCTAAAGTCAATCGAAACAATTATATATAGGTGTAAACACGGTGTATAAATATAAAATCAATCAGATGATAACTATGGTCTCTAAGCATCCACAAGATTTTTCCAAGTGATCAAGGTCCATAACTCTGACATTATTAATTATCGGAAATCATTGAAAAGCACACCCGATTCAACTGAAGTTGGCCGCTTTCAAGAGGGGTTGGGTTACTGATGTTAGCCGCTTCAAGAGGACCTATATTATTAATTTATAATATATATTATTAATATAGACTCTTCAAAAAAAGTAGGGGATATTCAGAAACAATACAAAACTGCGGAAATGCACTGCTGTTTTTATTAGAGGTAACCAGTGTAGGCCTATGTTAATAACAGGCCAATTGCCTACACATGAACAAAACAGTTCATATGGGCGGCTTATGTGTCACTGACGGCCCCATTTCACTCGCAACGAGATACACTGTCAAAAGTGAAAATGGAAGTTTTTGATTAGTAATTGCTCCATCAATCCTCAGATATTCAGCAATTCGTCGTGGCATGCTCCTAATCTGACCCACTCCTCTTGCGGTGCCACAGCCAATTCTTGCAGTGTCGTCCGTTGACGAACACGTCTCCCAATCATGTCCCAGACATGCTCTATAGGAAAGGTCAGGACTCGTGGCTGGCCAAGGCATATGGACAATATGGTGACGCTGGAGGTAGTCGTTCACTACACGAGTGCGGTGCAACGGGCATAATCACGTTGAGCAAAGGGCAGAACTATCGGTGCCAGGATGTGGTCACGGTAGTACACACCAGTGACCCTTCGTTGAACAATATGCAAGTCCGTTCTGCAGGGGCGTAAATATGGGGGTGGGGCCAGGAAGAAAAATAGTCGGTCGCAAAATCAGTGCAGTCGGTTGCAAAATAAGAGCAGTCGGTATCAAAATAAGTGCTCACTGCATACGTCACGCTACTCACGCAAAACTTTAGTATAAAATAACCTTGTCAACTTATCATGTTTGAAAAAATGTTGTGTTTCATTCTTATTCTGTTGTGAGTATGTTGGTCTATGAACAAAATTTCCCCCAGGGAGAAAAATAGTCGGTCTCAAAATAAGTGCAGTCACTGCAGTCGGTCTCAAAATTATGCATTGGTGACTCAATGAATTAATGAGGTAAACAAACAATGCCAGAATAGATCCCAAATACTATGTATTTGCGTGAATCCGTGAGCCTAAATTGCATACGTCACACAAAACTATAGTATAAAATAACCATGTCTGCTTGTCATGTTTGAAAAAAATGTTTGTCACTCTTATTCTGTTGTGAGTATGTTGTTCTATGAAATGTTTTTCCCCAATGGCAAAAAAATAGTCGGTCTCAAAAAAAGTACACACCTCAGTCGGTCTCAGACTAAATGAATTAATGAGGTAAACAACCAATTACAAAACAGGCGAAATTGACAGATAGGCCACAAGATTCTGTCTCATTTCTTATCCTCTCGTTAGCGAGAATTTGGTTCCATTTGCCATGACAATGACTAAAATTTCCAAGCCCAGTCCCGAAAAATTAAGAGCTCGATTCCGTTATAACATCATTCTTCTATTCCTTTGTTTTCTTATACTGCCTCAGCACTATCATATTCACGGTTATAGTGAACTGCCCAGTTATACTGGTGTGGGTCGTGGGGCGTCAGGCTATACAAATGTTATGTCAACTCATGCAAAACAGGCGGAATTGACGGGCAGATCTCGAGATTATGTCCCATTTGCTCACATTTCTGGTCCTCTCGTCCATAAGACTTTCTCCCAGCAATGACCTAAAGTGCTAGGATATTGACTCAATTTTTCCAAAATTTTCTCAGGTTGCTCAGGGTTCTAGGCACAATCATCATATGACATAAACTTTATGTCAACTTAAATAAAACTGCTTTCTGGCGAGACAACGATCGGCGAACAACTATATAATTATACAATACTGTCTATGTTCTACTAGGACGCCTATAAGGATCTAGGATGGAAGCCCCCCCCCCCCAATCACGAATTTGTTCCGACGGCCCTGCTGGCGGAGGGGGGGGGGGGTCAATGAGGTTTAGGAGGCGCACGGGCAAAACTATATACCGGAAAACACCAGAAAACTACCCGAAAACTGTCTAGTATTGTAACCCGACACCACGACAACCCGACATTCCCCAGGATTTTGCAGCGTGGTTTCTCCATGTCGGTAGTGCAGGACAAAGGGCCTGGCAAAGAACAGTGTCTAGTATTCGTTAGGCCGTTACAATCACTGATAAGGATGACACCAATGCGACTTGATGAGTCTCAAATATTAACTTTTTTCCACCGACAAATTAAATTCTAAAACATTTTTTTGATGTATTAGAAAAATAAATAGACGTTTGACGTATTTGTAGGTAAAAATTATTTCCTATTTAGTGTAAATGGGTATTAAAATGACTAAAAGGCAGCATTCTGTCTGAAGCAGTAACGTCTACTTTGACTATAGTATATACTAAAATATATACTCAAGCACAGGGGCGTACATAACGATTTTGTTTGGGGGGGGGGGGGTAGCCAAAATGCGACATCCAAAATCCCACCCCACAATGAATGTCAACAAAATACTGGCTATAACATTAAGCGTCCCATTAGAACATAGACAGTATTGTATAATTATATAGTTGTTCGCCGATCGTTTTCTCGCCGGAAAGCAGTTTTATTTAAGTTGACATAAAGTTTATGTCATATATGATGATTGTGCCTAGAACCCTGAGCAACCTGAGAAAATTTTTGAAAAATTGAGTCAATATCCTAGCACTTTAGGTCATTGCTGGGAGAAAGTCTTGAGGACGAGAGGACCAAAAATGTGAGCCAATGGGACAGAATCTCGAGATCTGTCCCAGTCAATTCCGCCTGTTTCGCAAGAGTTGACATAACATTTGTATAGTCTGACGCCCCGCGACCCACACACCAGTATAACGGGGAGGTCACGATAATCGTGAATATGATAGTGCTGAGACGGAATCGAGCGCCGCAGGCGCGAAAAAATTTCAGATATGTAACCGAGCTTTTAATTTTTCGGAACTGGGCCTGAAAATTTTAGTCATTGTCATGGCAAATGGAACCAAATTTCCGCTAACAAGAGTATAAGAAATGAGACAGAATCTTGTGGCCTATCTGTCAATTTCGCCGGTTTTGTAATTATTTGTTTGTCTCATTAATTCATTTAGTCTGAGACCGACTGCGGTGAGTACTTTTTTTGTCATGAGGGAAAAACATTTCATAGAACAACATATTCACAACAGAATATAAAGAGTGACAAACATTTTTTCAAACATGACAAGCAGAAATGGTTATTTTATACTATAGTTTTGTGTGACGTATGCAATTTAGGCTCACGGATTCACGCAAATACATAGTATTTGGGATCTATTCTGGCATTGTTTACCTCATTAATTCATTGAGTCGCCGATGCATAATTTTGAGACCGACTGCAGTGACTGCACTTATTTTGAGACCGACTATTTTTCTCCCTGGGGGAAATTTTGTTCATAGACAAACATACTCACAACAGAATAAGAGTGAAACACAACATTTTTTCAAACATGATAAGTTGACAAGGTTATTTTATACTTAAGTTTTGCGTGAGTAGCGTGACGTATGCAGTGAGCACTTATTTTGATACCGACTGCTCTTATTTTGCAACCGACTGCACTGATTTTGCGACCGACGTTTTTTCTTCCTGGTACCCCCCCCCCCCCCATTTACGCCCCTGAGCAGTAGTATTAAGAAGTTTTATTTTAATACCTTCTTATTATAGTCATTGCAGCCATTTCATATTTCATTCCCTTCATTTTAAAACAGTACCATATCAACCAAGGCAGGAATGTGGACGTATATTGCAGCGGTACCTATGCCGTGATTATTATTTCATGATACAATTCAGTTGTAGACATAAAGCGCATAATATACGTAGGTATACGAATGATATTCCCACGGGGATTTGAATGAGGTTTGATTCACCTTTGTTGTCTATTAACAGTAATCTGATATTAGCTTTTATTATTTTATTATCATCAAATAAACGTAGGTCATGCACACACAACATTGTCAAATTGAAATGTCATAATTTGATAGCGGATGGCATGACATACCTACGTCGTTATTTTACAGGTTAGGCCTTTGGTGTAATAAATATATACCCCTATTATTATATCTACGCTCTTCTATATCTGTATGGGAATATATATATATATAAACCACGTGACTTGCCCTTTGTGTAATATATATCAAAACAGCCTGATTAGTAGCCTATATTACAGAGGGTTTTTTTTTTTTAAAAAAAAGCACCATAAAAACCTAACATTTCAAAATGCGATTGTTGTACAATAATCAGTCTGTTTATTATGAAAGGTTCTCTTGTTTAGGGGTTTTACTACGTCTTACGTGGTGAATAGTTATGTTGATGGTATAGGGGCACATTATAACCTCTACTTTGCGTAGGTGTATATAGGTAATAAGCACTGATAGTATTCATTGTGTAAATCAGGGACAGAATTATAAGATAATATAGGCGATGTATTCGATGTATATAAAGCCTACCCCGTGACTAAGACCATAGACATCCTAATTAGAAAATGGGAAGAAATCTTTGATCAACGTTTGAAAAGTCAATCATAAATATGACAGATGAGTGAAAAGAATTACTGAAGGGTAAAGGGCATTATATGTTGATCTTAAAGCAATGTAAGGTGCGTTCTTTTTTAAATAAGAAAAAACGAGATGACAAGTGACGAACCTGGAGCAAACTTCTACACAAGTTATGATTTTATTTATGAATGCATTTGGATATAAAATGTAGACTTGTAAACTGGGAAAAGTATATGACAGGTAAGTATGTAAAATATATTTGAACAAGCGATGAAAAGGTATTTGATATCGGTAAGGTTGAGTGAAATTGTTTACTTTATCGCCAATGTGGGTTATATAGGAAGTCTATGCTATATAATATGTTTAAATATTGTGATATGGCCTATGGGAACGCTGGATTTGAAGGTAATGGGTGACTGTTTAGTCTATGGGTATAGGTACAAAAGATTTTAGCTTTTTTATAGTCCTCGCGTGTAAAAGAAACAGAATTGTGAAGTTAGTAGTACAGGAAATGGAATATAAAATCAAGAATGTTCATAAAGCGTTTTATGTAAGTAGAAGCAAATTTGAGCTATATATCAATGGGGTTGTTGTACACGAGACAGGTTATGTATGATTGTATTTCTAAATAACCTGATATCACTTCTTGGGTAAATCCCTTTGCAACATCATACACTCATAAAAATATAATAGACATAAGTGCCAAAAATCACCCAGCATGATATAATTATGATCAAACCAAACAAAAAAGAACCGATTTATTATTAGGTTTTCCAGCGATTCTAAAATCTTAATGCCCATTCTCCACTTAGCCGTATAAAACAAATAAAGAATTATTTCGTTTACTGTATGAATAAAAATATTAATTTAAAAAACAAAAAAACATTTCTTGGTGAAACAGTGTCGACCTAATTTTGATATTTCTCCAAATTTAATTTTCAAAACATACAGACTACCATGAGCATCATACGTTTCGTCCATATTTCAATTCAATAGTCTCTTCACAGAGCGATAGAAAATATGTAAGATGTGGGATGTTTATTTTCTGTGGGGTGAGTGTTCAGTAATAATTGACCGGTTCAAAATGTATATAGATAATATACTGATAACTGATGAATTTACAATCACATGAATGGAGTAACCACCCGCTGAATCCTATACCAATTTTATTAAGATATCATTCAGTTGATTCTCATTGTAATCTAGCACTTGTGCAATGTGAAACGAGTGGATAGTTATTTTCAAGCTAGAATCTGCCATTTAGCATACTATTTTTCTTTAATCTTTATCATACTAGACCTGTAGCATATAATTCCGGATATATTCTAGAAAAATACAAATGCTAAGGGAATTTCCACATGATTTCTCTCCGAGATAATTGTTAATCTGAGATATGAGTTCCTTTTCGTTTTTAACCCTGGTGAAACTAGATTTAGATTGTAAGAATCAATAAGTAAATAGCCTGTATAAATCAGTTTCATTCCTATAGCCCTGGTTCATTCATATATATTTCTCTCTGTTCGATAATTCAATATATATCCCCAGACTTCTATCTCAAGTGGCGGCAAATAACGACATGGTCATCGGTTCATTGGAATGGGATAAAATAATTACTTGTCTAAATATAAGACCAAAATATATTTTATCTAGCCTATTAACCGGGAAAACGGCTGAAAACTCTGTTGATCCATTCGTATAACGGCTTTCAGATCGCGAAATGAGGATAGTTCCAGATATTGAAATATAAACAGGAGAGCAAAGACAGAAAGATTTATCTCCCCAGTATTGCTTTGTCATACATCTGGCAAGTTATTACACGGGGAATTCTATTTACGTCATCTAAACAGAATGATTTGTGGGGAAATAGCCTGCGTCTGTATATTTTTCAAGAAGGCATTCGATTCGTTGAAGTTTATTAGGCACTAGTTAATTTCAACAGCAGTGTTTGATTGTTTTGGGCTGTTATACTTTACTCAAAAGAAGTACTATTTTGGGGGGTAAATGAAATCGTATCTTATAGTCAAGATGTTTTTTCTCAAAACTTTAATTAATGTTATTCGCCTTTAAAACTCTGCAGAGTGTTGAGATAAAACTCGGTATTAATCCTGTTTGATGTTTTTATTTTGTTGAGGAAATACTGTTGGAGGTTTTTGTGGTTGGAGTTTTTCATTAGAATCACAGATTTATCTTCTGGGGTGTAACTGGTAAAGACATTAGTTATTGGTGTTAATACCATTCTATATTGAGTGTTAATCAGACGGTGATAAGGTGTTATAATTGTTGTTGTTAATTAGATTGGATGAAGACATGACGAGGAATTAATGAAGCGGATATAGTGATAATAGAGAGAAACTTGAAGACCTTATTTCCATGGAGTGAAAATTGTACATTATGTTAGTATTAGTTAGACGATGATTATAGAAAGGTAATAATAGTAATATGCCAATCATCTGGGATGGGTTTGAAGCCCCAAGTCTGGATTAAATGACTGATTGAAAGGACTTCGTAAATGAATTTTGTCTGGAGTGTTATTGGAAGACAGACACACGCTGTAGAGTGAGAACGCCATGCATTCTTGTCAAGTTTATTTTTTAGGGATGGATATTTTAATGTAGGAACATCTGTTAAATTTCGATTAACAGTCAGAATATAACTTATTTTTGTTTGAACAATTAAAGATAAAGTAAAATGTTAATTAGCAATTTTCTAATTAAATATTAGCTTAATATGTTCTATTTGGTGAATGATACATTACGTAGAACTGACAATGTATATTTTCTATTCACATGGGAAACAAACCAATTAATTTGATTACTTATTTTTATTAAAAGGTGCAGACCAACCTTTTTATTATATTGTTATAACCCGTTAATTAATTTCTTCTCGTTACACATTAACCCTAATGAATTCATACTTCGTATATTGTATATTATGTTTTTACTGTCTGGTGGTCGTCTTCATCGTAATATTTTTTTTTATTTTAATTTTCAGTCAATTCACGTAGACAGGGAACCAATGCAATAACAGTCCATGTGTGAAAAAGAACGGTCTTTATTTCAGACATACAAAATGTGATGTGGTTCTGAAATTGGGTATATTGCAAAATGGATGACAAGAGGTGTTTAAAGGCATTCTGTATACAGTTAGTCGTTCATAATTTATTCAACTAATACCAAAGAATTAGATAAACGTAATAATTATTTCATCAAAGTATTAAATACGATGCCTTTAGTAGACAGAGATTGTTGTGCCTCGTATAAAGTGTTGGTATTAGGGGAAGCATCTGTAGGGAAGACTGCCCTAGTGAATTGTTTGATGGGTAGAGAATTTAGAGAAAGTATGGTGCCAACAATTGGTAAGTAGAGTTATATTCTTATTACAGTATGGTATACATTTATATATGATGACGACCCCACTACTGAAATCAGAGAAATTGTGGCTACCTGTTGTTTTTCTCGACATATTCCAGACCAGAATTTCAAATTTTACGAGATTGTACAAGCCAACGAGTCTTGAAAGATTAACAGGCCTGGAGAGAGTTCAATATTTACAACCACCCTAATCACCCAAGGCTCACCCTTTTACCTTTTCGCCCTTAAAAGAAACCTACAATTTTCTGGTCACTTGCTCAAAGCAAACTGCGTTAAACATACAGTTTCAGAACGTACGCCCATTGTAAACTGATCTGGAGAGTTGAATACCTATTAGTGTTGTGACGGATGTTGTACACGCGAAGGTATCTTTAAAAAAACATGGCGTGAATTAAATGCTAATGTCTTACGTTAACATATTATCCGTATTTCAGCTTTAATTCTTTTAACATTGATTTAATGTTTATTTCTAAGAAAATGATGGAATACTAATTGCTTGTTGTAACGTTATCTAACATACGGAATATCCACATTACTTTATGTGGTTTAAGTAATACGGTCACGCCATCTTGTCTGGGTGTCACTGAAACACAGGAAGTCCCCTAGAAGGTCTAATAAACTGGTATAGAAACTGCCATTAATAATTTACAGCAATGCAGTTATATGCAAATTGGAAATTTAACCCAGTAAGTAACTAGAATAAATAGGTATCGATATTACCACCTATTATATATAATGTAATGGCGGTCGAGCATATACTAATAGACTAGTAATTTAGACTCAGAAACACAGGTTACCAGGAGCAACACATACTAGCAGCAAAGTTTTCCGGGTAGTCCATTATAATTGTCATCTGAAAGTGTAAAGTACTTTACATCGTTTTTTTGCTGAAAGCCATTAGTAGCCTACGACATTAACAAATTTATAATTTGTAGCTATGCCGCCATATTGAACAAATGATTTCCTTAAACTGTTTTAGGTGTAGATTTTGTCAAGAAGATATTTGAAGTTGATGGCGCATTGATACAGCTAGTCATATGGTAGGTATATTATAAACACAGTTCCAACGTATTGATTCTAAGAGTGAAATCTGGTACTGCTCCTTTACGTTTTCCTCCCTTGGCATAAGATTAGTCGCCAATCCGACATAGTGGGGCAACTAAGTGTAACAATTTTTTAAATCTGGTTACAAGCACTTAAATTTGCATGGGTGGCCGTTTAGGGTCATTACTTAAGTAAATCTTGTTAGCCACTGGAATTTTCGCCTTTTTTTGTGGATAAAGCTTAAATTAATATATGTTTATGTCCAACATATATCGGATAACGGCGATTTGGGTGCGTATCGGACAGCACATTTTTGGGAATGGTTCCCTACATTTCGAATATAATTGTGAAATATGTTAGAAGATTGTGAACCCTCCAATGGCCACAATTGTTGGTTTGATTTAGACGAAACTTACGATACATGAATGGTTTAAGGATCAAAAGATCTTGGAGGAGTTCGGTTTTGGTCTGCACCAGACCGCAACTTCTTGGGTAATGGCAATTGCCTTTTACGCAAAATGTGAATTATGTACTGAGTCTGTGGACCCTCTATAATAGAGCCCACAATTATTAGTCCGATTTAGATGAAACTTAAATTATATATTAAGGGTCAGTAAAATAGGACAATTTGGTGTGACTTTATCACCATAAAATGATATTTTGTTGCCTGAAAGTCGACTGTCTTGAAAATTGCCGCAATCTTGGATTTTTGATAATAGGCTTTTTCAAAAGAATGGGCCTCAAGGAGTATTTCTGCCAATTTTGATACTTGTATCCACATTTGAACGATTTCCCTGTTTTTATGCAGTTAGAACTACGGCACATATATGTCGATAAATATTTATTAACACTGGCTCTGTAATTGAATGGTTTACCATAATTTAGGCTAATATTGGATATTTGTTTTTAAAGGGATACGGCAGGTCAACAAAGATTTCGGACAATAACAAGACTTCAATATAGAGGTGTTCAGGTTAGTATATACATAATTCCTCATTGGCACGGATACGTGAAGCCACAACAAGGATTTTTGCTTGAGAGAGGCTATGGAATGCCTATCTGGAGTAGTCTAGTAGTAAGAGCTTTGCCTTCGCAGTTGGAATTCGATATAAGAGTAGGCCGTAGTGCCGCTGCTCGAGCAAAATTTCCCTCATAGCACACTGTATGGCGTATGCCCGTCTTCATTAGCCCAGTATAGGAGCAGAACAGTAGGACGTTAAACCCCATTTCATTTCATTTCATTTCAGTAAGAGCTTTGACTGTCGGAATCTTTCAGACTCTTTCCCCAAGCGTGTGATATCTAATATTTTACCGCGTCGACATCTTCCCATAAAACTATTCCCCAATCCATTTCTTTATTGAATAAATGAACGATAACACCCTTTAACGTTGTTGATCACTCATTGCCTATTATAATGCCACATTTAAGAATCCTGATGTTATAATGAATTATGAGAGACGTTAATTTGTCAACATGACATGTCTTACTCAAATAATCACCGAGCTTAATTCCTTTTTATACTTATTTATGGTATTGGAACACCAAAGAGAAATAATCTAACACACATTACTGTGAAGTGGTCTAGCAACGTCATGTTGATAAAATATGGCTTAAGGTCGTATTATAGAGAAATTATTGGTTGCCATCCATCTGTTTAAATCATACCTTGTGTGATCATTGCTGATCGGTATCTTGTAACTATTCAAATAATTTAAACAGATGGCTTTTGATTTGAAAAATATTACATAAATCATTTATTTCTTTATCTGAATTAATAGTGATACCAAAAAACAAATTGCATTTTTTTGTCGTCTGATGCAATTCTAATCATATTTGTACAGTGACACGTAGGTTTGACAAAACCAGTTTCAAACAACAGACTCAGAAGGGCATGGGCAAGCAGAGGCGTTTGCTAGACACTCAGAAACTAATCATTGCGTCATTCAATGATGGTTCGCCTGATGCCACCTTATAACATTAATTGCGTCACAAATATACTGGATCGGCCTATGCTTGAGTTAGATAAGTCTGGATCCCTTCCCGACGGTATTGACATTCGAGGGGGGGTGGGGTGTAGGTGGTCGAATGTTTAACGCGTGCGCGTTGTATCATAAGGTCTTTCATTGAGTCAAGTGGCGTGGTTTCGATTCTCCGCTTATACGTTAAAAGGAATAGGGTCGCCTGTCCAACCTCGTGGGTTTTCTCCGGGTCCTCAGCCCCCCCCCCCACCACTGCTAAAGACCCCAACGCGCAAGCGAATTATTGAAATAAAATTAAACCATATGTTAGTCTCGAAATGACATAGCTTGTGTCGAGTGGACGTTAAACCTCATTTCTCGCTCTCTCTGTATTGACATTCAGAGATTAAAAATCCGATATTTCAGATGCGGCCATTTGAATCCAAAATGGCACCCGAAAATGGGACCATATCGCGTGTGCCCCGCTCATATTCGAAAGAGAACGCTAAATGCGAATGATTCTGTGATAAATTCTTGAACAAATCCTCTTATAAATCGCTTTAGATTTTACAATACAGACAAACATAACTAGCATTATCACTGGAAGCATTTCAAAATTGGCGAACAATACAAGATGGATATGGCTGTTGCAATCATATAATCAAATCAGTACAGAATATAAATCCCATTACCAATGGAAGTTTATTGTCAGCCAGAATCGAATCAATCTTAATAGAATACAATTTAGTTGGTTCAATTTCAGCAAAGTTGAACATTATTGCTTTCTTTATAGAAGGAAATCCGGGCCACTATATTCTTTTAAGCATGAGTTGTTTCAAATTAATTAAATAAAATTGTTTCATAAAGAAAAGATTTGTCTGTATTCGTATTTTAGATTAGGTGTGCCAATTACAAGTGTGAATGTTTTCGTCTAAAAGCAACAGATATATAAATCTGTATAATTTTACACAACCATTAATCCCAATGGCATGATTATTAAGAACAACAGAATCTGCGTAAAATAGGTTGAATAAGTAATTTACATTTAGGCCTTTATAAAATGAAATTATTTTTTCTACTTTCTAGGGTATAGTTTTGGTTTACGATGCAACAAATCCCTCGTCGTTTTCTCATTTAGCCTACTGGATTTCGAGTGTACATAAGGTAGGAGAAATATCCGGGTGGATTTAGGGAGGGCGTGGAAGGGGCTGGACGAAACTTGCTGGGATAGTTCAAATCAAAAATGAAAGTTATCCATAGATTTCAGCGGTTTTATCTGAAATTGGAGTGTTATAAATTTGTAATGTTGTATTAGTAGAGAGTGGTTATATGGACGTCATTCATAATAATTATTAAAATCAATTCGACATAATATGGGGTGATGGTAATAAAAGATTGGGGATTGGTTTAAACAATATTTTAATTCAAGAACGACATGAATATTATACAATACTTATGTAATGGATTCGAAAACAAGATGAGGAAATTAGAATTTTTATCAATTGTAGGGCCTTTTCTATACATTTCTGATATAAGATATATATTTTATAGGAGATGAAACAGGCTCACAATCAATATGAACCAATACCAATTGTTTTATGTGGTAATAAAAATGATTTAGAAGACAAAAAACTAGTCAAACGATCAAAGGCATATGAGGTAATTGTTACGCTAATTTAAATTAAAGTAGATACAAATATTGTAAAATAATTTTTGTGCTCAGCATTCTCGTAAACACCACACCAGTCAACCTTGTCATAAATGCTTGTTTTTCAATATGACCACCTTGCTGGTAATTTTGTCGGGGTAGAAATTGTCGTCGTTGAAATCAATTCCATCTTTATCACGATGGTCATTAATATAATCGTCGACGTTGACGCATGGATCAACAGGGTCGTCAAAATAGAATATTCTTTAATGTTATTGAGGACATCACCAGGGGGATACATGATTTTTCAAAAGGGATGTGGGAAAGGTGCACAACCAGTGGGCTTGACATTTATCATTTTATTTACTATCTGTCGTTATCATTGTTGACGAAACTATAGGCCTACGCAGCATTGGTATAGTATCCGTTCGTTCTAGTCCACACAATTATTATGGTGAATTTACAGGGTGCGCCCCGACCCCCCCCCCCCCACACACACAATTATTTACAATATGATTGATTGAATAGAACCTCAATGGGCAATAATTGTCTTCATTGGTTACGGTATTAACAATAAATGGTGTATGCTGAATCAAGTAATATAGGCTCTATTTTTTTCAATTTTCAGTTGGCACAGAAAGAGATGGCATTTGAATTCTTTGAAACCAGTGCTAAAACAGGAAGTAACGTATTTACGGCTTTTCAACGATTGGCGTTTCACATTACAGATATATGTAATCCCAAACTTGTAAGTTATGCTGTTTTCATCGCAAATCGTGTGAAATAAGAACATTATGGGTAAATTAAACGGGCTTCGAATAGGGCTGAAACCCCTAAAAAATTATGTCCAAAAGTGTATAAACTCCTTTTCTATACTAAACTATATTTCCGGACAATAGTCGGATAGTTGTTTTAGGCACATGCTGGATATTCTGAAAAGATTCGCGGATGAATTCGGGCTGGTTTTTTATAACTTTTCCAATCCAGGGCCGTAACTAGCTCAGAGCAACGATGGTGGGTTGGTGGGGGGGGGGGGGGTCCCAAACATTCATGAACCCCATTTTCGGTTTCTTCCATATACTAATTTATAGGACACGTAAAGTTAATTATGAAAATAATTTTTGAAAAAGTATAGATCGCTGAACCCAACTATCTGGATCTGTTCCACAACAAAGGAAAATTCTTACTGTGCAACCTGCATCATCAATTAAGTCATATAAAATACCCCTTTTGCAAGGTTTATGGGACACTATTCTAGCTCATATACATTCTTTAACATTGGATGTTTTCTCCAGATTTCTGTCCGACGATAAACAAATTAATTGAAATCCACCAGAAGACGGCCAAAACGGATCTAGCTTTATATTTATTACAGTAATTGTTTTATTTGATTTTTGTAGATGGTGTCCTACCATCCTTATATGATCAGGCGACTTGAAGACATAGAACCTGATTTACCTAAACAACAGAAAAACACAAAGAAAAAGAATAAGAAGAAATTCAAAGTAAAAAAGATTAAAGAAGGCAAAACGAAGGAAGCCAAGATACTGTCAGTATCAAAGACTGATATCAAAGACAATCCTAAACAATGTGCTCCCTTTAAAGGTTTATGCTGCCTACTACCACAAAAACAGGAACCATCCTGACGGTTTCATTAGTGTTACTCCTAGTGTGTAAAGCTCTACCAAATACTGACGATGCTGTATAAACAATTGCGACCACAATCAAGGGATGTGGTTTAATAAGTTTACCTTTACAGCCACCACTTAATTCATAAATTGAAAGTATTGTACAGTAAATAAAATATGTTACACAGATTATAAGATTTCCTGAACTGTAAACTTCGGTATCTGGAAGTCAAAGAAAGAGACATATATATTCTTTTTTGCGTTCAGACAATTAAAGCCGGATTGACACCACTTTAAGGTGTTTATATAAGATCCTGATACAAGGGAAATGGAATCTAAAATGTAAAAGGAGTATAGAAATTCCTATTCTGTCTCGATATAAATAACAATCTCGTATCTATTGAATAAATCTGAATATTTTCATTTGGACTCACCGAAATAGACTATTAGACAATTATCATATAGATAAAGGTATATGTATGTCTGAATACAGTCATTTATATCAAATTACTCTCGTTTTATCTTAATCATACATTGCTCTCCTGGGTCGCGGTGGCTAAGTGAGTATTAAGTTCCCCAGAATTTCCAGCATGGTTTGGGACGAAAAACCGAGCTCCCGTGTACACATTGAACGTGAACGTAAATGGGTGTAACGTCCACTGTTCGGATCCGACTGGGCTAATGAAGACGGGCACGTGACAGAAATCGATATAAGGGTATAGGTCGTAGCGCGCCGCTGTCCGGGCAAGAAATCCACCATAGCCCACTGTACGGCACGTGCCCGTCTCCATTAGCCCAGTCGGTGCAGAAAAGAAGAACGTTAAACCCCATTTCATTTCCAGTTCCAAAAACCCAATAACAACGTGTATAAAATTACTTCACTATTTGCGCATCCTTTATGTGAGTCATTACGCTTGATGATCATATTTAAAAACGGGGGTTCTCCCCCCCCCCCCCCGGGCTCGACAATTTTTGAAAGAAACATTGCCCCTAGCTTCATTTGGGCGTATATCTGGGGCAACTGGAGGTCAACACCGAAATCTTGCTGTGTCCTAGCACCTGTTGCAGCTTTTGCTTTTTCTCCTTTTTTCTGGGCCCCTGGCTTGTGGTGGTATGACCGAATGTATAACAAGCTTCGCCCGGACATATTAGATATGAATAACGAAAACATCGAGAATTTTAGAACCTAACATAACGATGACGAAAGAAAAAGTTTCTCTTTCAGCTTCGTTTTTAATGATCGGATACCAGTCATAGCGAAAGCGATCGATAACCGTGTGCATGATCACTGGCGCTCACAATCATTGTAGCGTACTACAGGCCCGGAATAGGTCCCGATTACATGCCGGGACCCGGAATCCTAACGGTGACGAAAGCCTCAAACGAAATTAGGACACACCGGGGCCCCAAATCGCGAAGGCCCGGGCGGGTGGTTTATAATTCACCAATTTTTCTCAAAAAAGTGGACTGTCAGAATCCGATTCTAATCACGCCATAGGTACCCACACATTCACAAAAATGCAATTTGTATGTCAGTATGATACATTCATTTGGCACAAACATTTACAATAACTTATAAATAAAATCATCAACCATGCATTTTGTAAGAGTTAAATATGCCTATTGCGGGTATTTTTTGGGGCCTTAAATGTTATGTAAATTATTAATTAGGCACAACGCCGGATTAACCATGGTGGGGGCCCTGGGGCCTGGAACATGTGGAGGCCCCTTATCACCGACCGAGGAGCTGTGCCGGCCACCTCGAGCGCTGAAGGCGCGAAGCCTCGCAAGGGTGGTCTGGGGGGATTTTCCCCCCAGGAAATTTTCAGAAATTGGAGGCCGGAAACGTGATTTCCTGGCATTTCAGGCACTTGTGTCGGAGCCATTTAGAAGTACCTTCCCCAGAAAAAAATAAAATTCTGCCACAAAATTAGGGCATTCTGGCGTTATTTTAGTGGACCAATCCATGCGAGTGCTATGAAATGATGGCATTTCTAGAGGAGGGGGCTGGAGCCCATTGAGCCCGTTAATTCCGCCACTGTAATTCTCGGATGTCGATCGCGACACACCATAGATTGAGGGGCCCGAGGGACTTCCGATGGAGGGCCCTCGGAAGTCCCTGGGGACCCGTCACTAGGTCACCGGCCGTTGGAGTCCTCGGTCCGACCTCGAGGCGCGCAACTGAGATTTTTGTGGGGGGCCCTCTAATGTGGGGGGCCCTGGGCCCCATGGTGCCCCGTGGTTAATCCGGCGTTGATTAGGCATTTATTAACAAAACAAGACCGTAATCAACGCTCAATGTCATCGGATACGCGAGATTTTAACTAGATTAAAACGGTTCGCCATTTACAAAATTTAATTTAAAAATGGGAAACCGAGGCTAAGTCCCGAATATACCAGTGCCCTGGTTACCACAATGCACACAATTTGTCAAAACTACAAACAGTGATAACTTGGCTCAGAATAGAGTAATTTGAATGAAATTTTTTAATATATTCATTTTGCGTTATCTATTTTTGAGCTATTCTAGCAAGAATGACCAGTTCTTTATCTAAATCTTAGACAATGTATCTTTAAATTAAAAACAAATTTGGGGCCCCCTTTAATATTGGGGGCCCTGGCAGCAGCCCCCTCCCCCTATCCGACCCTGTATTGTTGTTTAGTTCACGCCAATACAAGAATATGGTAAAACGCTGGTATATTGTTTCTATAGTTCCTGGGTTCCCAACCTCTGGGTCGTGGTGGACTACTCCGAAACTTTGAATAAATGCTATCACGAGGGCTGGCTGAAAAGTCCTGCAACTGTAGTATTAGTGTTGTCTTCGTGCCAGACCATCTTGTGAACCTACCTATTGACACCGCCAGAAATGGACAAACTGACTATACGGCAACCATCAAGTATCTGCAACTGAAAGGACTAACCCCAACACAAATACATGCCGACGTGGTCTCCACTTTAGGGGAAGATGTCCCTTCCTTTTCCACAGTAAAGAATTTAAGCGTGACAGAGAGAGCCTTGGCGATGACCCGTTTCCTGGAAGGCAATCAAGAGCCGCCATTCAAGAAAACACTACCCGGGTGCAACTGTGCATGATGACATGGTGATGGCTGATCGACGATTGACCACCCAACATATTGGGTCAAGTCCCGTGTTACACTTGTGCTAAGGTTGTGTTGTTGTGGTGTATAACTGGTGTTCTTTTTAGTGCCTTAACCTGAGCCCCTCGAAAGAAAGTTAATTGGGCAAGAAGTTAAGTAACTAGGATCTATGTTGAATTTTAGTAATCTCATTTGATCATTGTTCAGATCATTGTTCAGTCGAAATTTCCTAAAATTTCTCGTAGATTAGCAGGTCTGTGATCAACATTTCTTTGTCTTACGTTTTGGCCATGATATGGATAAAAAAAATCGTTTTAAGCCTTAAAACTAAATCTAAAAACCGTAAAAGAAATTCCCTTCTTGCTGTCTGCTGTTTTACACCAGTGTTGTAATAAATGACTTGAACTGAGATTTTTTTTAACCCCTAGGGGTTAGTGTTAGAGTTATTTTTAACAAGATAATATCTTTTATCAAGTTATTATTATCTAACAAGTTTTTTTTATGTAATTAGAAATAATATTGCACAAAGTTCCTGGTCTTTATATTTTTTTCATGTAAATTTGTTTCTTAAATCGGGAAATTGATATTGAAAATATAGACAAACTGAGGAGCTCAGGTATAAGTTAGTGTTTGGGTAACACAGGTACGACACTAGTGTTCATGTTGTGTAAATACATGTATATCCATATTTAACACAACCTCCACACCGCAGACCTTAACTCGGACTGATTTCAAATACAGAGGGGGTCTAAGGTTGAGTTAGCACAGCGTTACACCAGTGCTACACTGATGTAACTGGTGTTAGACACTACACCACCTTAACCCAGGACTTGAATTGACCCATTGCCAGTGTTGTGGGCATCTCTCATGAGAGGGTTGAGCACATTGTCGCCAGCGAGTGAATGGTGCCCCTTCCTTTTCCACAGTAAAGAAGTAGTCTGTGGAATTGAAGTGTGACAGAGAGAGCGTCTTGGCGATTACCCGCGTCCTGGACGGCCATCAATGACAATCATTCATGAAAACGTTACCTGGGTGCATGACATGGTGACCACTCGACATATTGCCTGTGTTGTGAGCATTTCTCGGGAGGAGGTTAGGAATGACAAAAAATCAGAAACGTGTCTTGGCGTCCCGTTTTGAAGCAGACCCTGACAATTTATTTTTGGCCCGATTTGTAACCATGGATGAGACCTGTTTCCAAAAATGAAAAAAGAACAAGACGGTCGTCATTTCCCTACTAATGATGACGCCATGTCCGCTGTTAATAGCGGCTTTTTTTGGGGTGGGTGAAGAAAATTCTTTCCTGACCGCATCAAAGTTTTACAACATCGTTGGCAAAAGTGTGTACAACTCGAACGGGACTATGTAGAAAAATAAATGAAAACCATTGTACAGGTCTTTCACACATAGGCTTCGAACTTTTCAGCCAGACCGGCCTCGTTGCTCTCACGCTCACCATGTTTCATCGGTCTCTCATTACATCATTTTGATCTGTAAATAATGGTGATGTTTCGTAGTGAAAGCCTGAATGGTGACTTTGTTCCTCGAGGGGTCGCGATCAGATGATTGTTTCTGGAATTGGGTCGCAGCCAACAAATGGTTGGGCAATAATGCTACAGATGTGCTAGTTTTCATTGTCTGGAATTGATAACAGCCATTGTTGAGCATGCATCGCTTTCGTGGTGCATTGATAATATCTACAGGGAGATTACTCCATCAGGCTTGCCTAACCACGTTAGTAGATATTTATATAAACAGATAAAAAAAACATAAACCGTCCCACATTAGGGCAAATAAGCTTAAATTTGTACATTTTAAAAATAAACTCTACAGTGACCAGTAAGATTGCTTTTAGCAACAAATTCTTACACCATTCTGTATATTAATACACATATTCACTACTGTTTGAATCATTGTCTGATGAAGACTAGAGTTAGAAAATTGTTATTCCATTCATTTAAACAACTACATTTAAAGGGCTATAGTTCTATTCTGTGGAATCTAAAAATAGACGATAATGGGTCTAAAAGCACATATAATTGTAATACGAGTTTATATAAAGTGTTTAACATTCAATTTGATTTCTAATCATTTATGTTCGGTGAAATAAGTGAACAATTACCACTCAGTCATTCTTAATTACTCCCATATTGTCTTCTGAGATGTTTTTCTTTGTTTATTACAACCGGGGTTCGAAACCATTATGTCCAGAAAGTACAGACACATATGTCTTTATATTTTTTATCCCTTACCTGGTAGTCACACATCTGAAAGATATTAACTCAAACTGACTAAAAATAATAACTATGGCATTTGTAACAATTTATTTATTTCACTCAATCCATGATTAAAATTTAATACTGCACCACATAATAAGCATTTCTATGTATTTAAAACTACACACTATTACAAAAAAT